TCTCATTGAGTCCGTCCAGCTCAACGCACCAAACTCAGATCAAACTGTCAAACTAGGCAGTGCTGATCAGATCTGGATCCTGAACATACTACGTTCTCTTTGAACTTACTGTACCTTTGGCACTCTGGGATACTGTGATGACGCTGTCTGGGAGGTTCACGTATACATCAAACAAGTCCGATCTGTTGCTCACTTCTGGATCCACGAATCCCGCTATATATCCTGCAGGGAAAACGAACATATTGGTGCATTAATAATTAATTTCTCCCATCATGAGATCAGAGTGCAGATGGCGGAGGCAGCCTCACCAGGGCATTTCTTCAGATCCTCTAGCTCGGTATCAGTCAGGTGCACATACGGGTGCAGGATGGACCAGTCTTTCCTGTGCCATGTCAGAGTGGGCAGGACTCTGAGGGGGAAACAGGTGCAGAGTTACCCACAGACGATAAGATTCTCCACTACAAATACTCTGAAGTCTTAAACGCACCTTGTGAACTCCAACAACGCTTCAATCCGAGGGTGATGGACAACAATCCTCTTCTTCAGCATGAGAGCGGTATACAGGATGATGGTCTCCATACCGAACTGGGACACCACATCTGAGTTAGAGCGGCAAAAACACGGAAGTAAACCGGATTACTTTTATCTCCAAGGGAAAAGATCGTGCTTCAAGTGAATGTTTATGAACCGCTGCTGTGTTTTAGCGCTTAGATGGAAATTATCACCTTTATCTGGTGACCGCAATGAGAAGTGTATGTTACAATCAATCAATCAAACTTTATTTGTATAGCACCTTTCATACAGCTTAGAGCAGTTTAAATGCTTCACAGACGACCGATAAAAAGACAGAATGGAATAAAAATGAAATGAGGGAGATCAGCAAAGATTGTCAAACTTTGTTTTTTAATCTTTTTAATCAGTTTCCTCCCACACTCTCCCTCATAAGGTTTAAAAGAGGTCGAATGACATACAGTCTGTTATTTATGATCAATCAGTGGATTTGACAAGTGAAAACTCATCAATAATACTTTTACAAAAAACAAAAGACATTTTTTTACTAACTAAAAGCAGGAATTATAGCCTACATAAGTGATGTGATCAGAATGTTATCACAGATTCAGGCAGTAAAAATCTGATCTGCTATAATTCATGTCGACTGATAATTTAACAAAAAGGCTTCTCTCATTTGGATTTAGAGTCTTTTATTCTGGTGACAGCAGCAGCTTGTTATCTCTGCTATGTCATTAATTATTCATGACAATTTGGCAGACTCCAAAATACACAATATGTTCAGGGCTTCAGCTACAGTATGTTCATTACTTTGTCACCAAGTCAGCTCTCTTCAGCATTTTTACCTCCAAGTCAGCATACAGGCACCAATTGTTGGAGCTCATTCACATCTATTAATCTAAATATACAATTATTGGGACAAAGAGGACACGATTCAGGACAACCGCTCTTAATTGGGGACATCTGGTCTCCCTGTTTTTATCACTGTAAACAAACAACTGCTGTCTGACACAGGACGACATTTATATGCAAAACTTCCTTGTAGGATCTGCTTATTTCGAGGTTCAAGGTTGCTTTTATTGTCCCTCGAAAGAGAAAACTGACTTGGATTGAAAGGAACTGCTGCATGAAAACAGACACCAACTGGAAATAACACTATTCACAGAAACTGTTCTACCGAAGTGGCCAAACTACTGATTAACGTTCCTCTTACCTTTGACCGAACCGGCCAGGTACGCTTTCCGGACGTCATAGTCCTTAATTAGAAATGAGCCGTTTTCATCACTCTGGCAGATTCCTTTGGTGAGGACGGTCACATACGCCTCCATCATCTTCACCGGACTGCCGTGTTTGATGTACATCCTGGACGACAAAGACAAAAACATCCCACTTAAAATGTAGAAAATGCATCTTTTTAAAAGAAAACTGTACAAACAGTGTCATGTGAACGGCACACTGTACCTGCAGAGGATCCTACTGAGTGCAGCGTACTTCTCCGGGTTGAAGTCTTTTGCTGTAACAACTATTGAAAAATGAGTGACCTTGAAGAGAACAAACAGAGACAGAAATAGAACTTAATGCAATATATATATCAGATAAAGACTCTCATTATTCCAGAGTCTCTGTACCTTGTTCAGCGCTGTGGGCTCCTGCACCTCCACCGTGGTGATGTAGTACCAGGTGCGACAGAACTGACCAAACACAAAGGTGTGGAAATCCCGGCCGTCCTTCGTCAGACAGCACTTGCTGAGCAGGACTTTCCTCAGGTCGGAGCTCACGGAGGGATAGCACCACACCCACAGAGTGTCTCCATTCACATCTTTCTCTGGAGAGGACAAATGAAACCACAGTTCATATCTTTATATATTAGAACAGAGAGAAAAAATGGGTTAATGGTTTGATTTAAAAACAATACATCCACATATCGAGTGGAGCAACTTCTTTGAACCACTGTAAGCCGCTGAGAGACTGAGATTTTGTTGTTTTGGTTTGGAGACAACCAATTAGGAGCACTAGAACGAACCAGAGGAACCTGATTATCTGTCTCATGAACTACTGTCAGTATGTGGTGAAAGTTTAAGTAAATACGACAAAAAGTTACTTTTATCTACTGCGGAGTTTGTGAAAAATACTTAACAAGCGAGCAGAGGATAAATAATTTAATATCAAAGTAATGGATAAATGGTTGGAATGTCAAACTTTTGACATTTTTTCCACGTGGCTCCACTTCAATTGTATGAAATTATCTTAACATCCACTATTATATGTAGAGCTGCACAATATAGTTAAAAGAAATCATCATATAATGATTATTTTTGACAGACACTGGGAGATGACTCAGAATATTATATTAAATTTAATATTAAAATATTAAAATCATGATGATGTGACATTTGTTGGAGTTTGTGAACCAAACAAACAAGTTTTCTTACATCTGAAGAACAAGATTTGTAAGCCAGGGCATCTGTACACTAACAAACAGTGTCCCGATTAGATGCACGTCTCCTCTTACTAGCCTGGTGTGGCAACAACAATGTTGACAAATAAAGACAGGTTTCAATTAGAGGTCTGGGTTGGATTAAAGTTCTTTGGATGTATAAAACCTTTTAAAACCCATCAGGTTGAGCGAGTTCTAAGCTGCTGCTTAGATCGCCTATCACATTTATAGAAACTATGAGCACCGAAGTATCAGCATTTAATATATATAAATCTAATATTCATATTAAACAATAATAAACAATCTAAAATTGTTTCCCATCTTTGCTGAGCAAGAGTTTGATGCTAAAGGAATTAAAGGTCTCTAATTATATCCACTTTTATATGATTAATAGTTCAATAACATCCAGTTTTAAATGAATTTACATGAAAACATTTTAATTCATCGGACAACGTTGCATTAAAACATATACAGGAGACAATTTCTGATTTTATAACATTTAGATAAACGTGATGTGAAGTAAAGCGATGCTCACATTGCTTTACTTCAAAAAGCTGTCCAGCTCTCCAGCGTACAGTCCTACATTAACTTCCCACGTTTCACCACCAAAATCCTAATCCTGTCACCATGGCTGAAGGATCGGCCTTCCTGTTGTATCCCGCACAGAACAACCAGACGTGTGGAACGAGTATAGACTCCAAAATAAAGAACAGGGAGATGAGGTGCCTTTCTGTGAGTCAATAAATATCTGTGCTTCTCTATAAAATGAAAGGTAAGGTGTCATTTTAAAAGTATATTCTCATGATTATTGCGATAATATTGTGTATCGAATGTATTTTGGCCATAATAATGGTGACATAATGCCTTCCTGGGACCAAATCTTTCTCACACGGGGGTCTGTGTTACAGGATATGACTGCATTAATTGATATATTATTACAGTATACAGTATTATGAGGCTCTGTTCATCCCATTATAATGAAGGTGGGCTGTTGTGGCTGTACGGTGTCCTGTCTACAGACCCCCCCAGAAAATCATTATTTTTAAATAGGATTTAATTCAATTTGTGATGCAAAAATTAACTGGATCACAATATGATTGTTTTTTTTACAGGATGCATTCAGGGACCCATTCATTCCTGCAGACTGCCTCACATGCAGCATCAATAAACCAATGAGGGACATGGAGCTCCTGCTGATTAGACTCTGCTGGGTCACACTGGTGTCATGTGATGGTCCTGCACATACAGCCACTTACACACACTGAGGCCACAACTTTGCTTTAAAAAAACAAACAAACCCCCCAAAAAACCCCAGAAAAACAACAAAAACACGAACCGAGAACTGACAACTCACCGATTAGTCCGACGCTTAACATAAGCTGCGTTTCAGTCGCTGCCATGTTCCATACCTGGAAGAGTTCACAAGCACAAGTTAACAGGAGAGAGAGAGACCGTCGTCCTCTGAGAGTGCACATTAACGAGGACCGTGAAGTACCCTGAGAGCTTGCTGCAGGTCCTGAACCCTGAATGCCACACGGATTGAATGAGACAGTGAATGAGGTTTAAAGTTGTGATTTTTCGGCTGTCAACAGACTTTTCCTCCTCTGTGCGAAATCTCTTCCTTATTCCGGGATGGCTGCTGACAACCAATCAGAGCTGGAGGTGATGGTGCGTTCAGGGTTACTGGAATTCTGCCATAATGCAAACGAGAAATTGTGTAATTAAGATGATACATGTTCTAATATTACAGTAAAATACTGATTTAACTATATTCTGGGCGAATAACTGTTAGCTAACTTTATTTTGGTAATGTTATTTAATTTACTTTCTATATATTGTGTATGTATTGTATTACTATGAGGTACATATTCATTTTTCTTAACTTATACTTATATATACACATTTCTAGTCTATATATTGTGTTAGATATTGTAATATAAGTATTATTTCTATTCTTTAACATTGTGTGAGCACCCTAAACAACCCAAATCTGATCTGATTTCTGATTATAAGCTTTTTTCATTGGAAGTAGTAGTATTCATGTTTTTTCCATACGATCCTTTAATATAATAATAAGTATCTACCGATGCTGATTTATCATTATGTTTTTTAACGTATCGATTTAAAATGATGGTTAAAAGGACAATCAAGTGTTTGTCCACACTCCATATAACGTGCTTTGTTGTCCTTGTTTTTAATGGTGTTATGTGTTTTTATGAAGTGTGCTTTGCTTTATGCACAGTATTGTTGTTCCTGTTTCATGTTTTTTATGTTGTGTTTTTGTGGGTCATTAAACCTGCACAGGGACTGCAGCTGAAAATGTAATTTAAGCTACATTGAGCCTTCACTGACGTTATTAAAGCATGTCTGACAGCAGAGTAGTTCTGCTTGAAGAAAATACATCCTGCACCACAGGTTTAATTTGATGGTTTTCAATTATATTTTGTGTCATAAGCTGCAGTCAGTGGTGTAACTGTGCCTGGAGATGTGGTTAAACTCTTAATGTATGCTACAAATATTAAAGTAAAAGATAAACACCCTGTGTTATAAACTGTGACATGTAAGACTGCTCTTGCATATTTAGCTAAAAAATGTGCCAGTAATATTTGCACATTGTGAATTAACGTCTGCTGCTGGACTTCAGGCAGTAAAGAGAATTATAAAATTAACATTAACCACAGAAGAATCAATACTGGCACGCAGACTATCGGGTGAGACAAGGGAGAGTCGGTGTGAATTTGGTGTCACAGGAAGGTTTTGAGAAGCGAAACTGATTTCAACCTACAACAGAACTTCAGAGTTTAAGACTGACCTCCTGAAATCTGTTTTTAATGTTTGAGGAGGTGTAAGACTTTGTTTTGGCTGCACAGTTAACTGTGAAGCCCACATAGTTTGACACGAGTTACTTTTAACGAGGGTTACCTGAATGCACCATCCGGGTAGAGCATACGGGTACTTTCTACACCCTGAGCTGCCAGGTTTGTTGGAAACCCCCGTTTTATCCATTTAATCCATTTTATTTTAGGAATTAAGCTATTTAGTACTTTTTAATTAACATTCTTGGTCACATATCAGTGAATTACAGATTATATACTTGTAACTGATGAATGAATATTTGTGTTTTTAATTTCTGTTTTCAATTCAGTTTAGTTAAAAAGTTCAGTTTTCGTTCAGTTTGTATTATTTTCAGTGTTTGTTTTATTTTTTTTATTATAACATTCAGGGTATTTGTCAGAATATGTATTACAGTGTAAACACATTGACTCACAGTCATGTAGACATCCCAGTCTCAATAAACATATGCAGCAATGCTTCTGGTAACAAATCTGAACAAACAGAAATTTTAGTTTTGTACAAAATATCAGTTTTTATTTTTATTTCAGTTAACTAAAAACATTTTTCACACCTACTTTTAGTATTTAGTTTAGTTTTGCCGAAGCTTCACCGGAGTTTGTGAGGCCTTCTTGACTTTAAGGGGCGTAAGAAGTAAAGTAAAGTAAAAACTGAGAATAAAACTAAATGAAATAGTTTTCTTTTTTGGTTTAGATTATTATTTAAGATATAAACGTTGAAGAACTGAACACAAGCTGTATTCACAGAGCCTTTAATCTCTGATAAACAGTCTCATCCTGCATTAGAAAAGAGCTAATATAACAATGGAGAGAGTAAAACATTGAATTTGTCCAAAAATAAGAAACCTATTATGTCTGTAGGATTGTTAGAAATAAAGAATATATAAAACAAACAGATAATTTTATAAAAAGTATATAAAAACATATCAGCAAAAGTCATCGCTGATATATAATATTTACAGGAAATAATCTGCTGAAAATTCACCCAAATCGACCATTTGACACAAACATCCTGCAGTTGTTGCCTTCACTATTTCTGTTCATTGTTTATAAACTATTATAATCTGAACTTTAATATATGAAAATATATCACTTAATCAGTTCACTCGATGGTAGAACATAGATAGATAGAATATGATATGAAGGTAGTGTTATTGTTAATAACAGTATATAATAATAATATTAATAATAATATATTAATAATGTATTGTATAAATATAAAATATAAAATCAACATATATTAACATACAACATAACATATATATATAATATAATATAATATAATTAATATATAACATATAAAATATTCAACAGAAAAGGTTGAAAACCACTGATTTATATACAAAAAACACACCAAAAATAAAAACAAGCATAATAAGCAAAAGAAAACACATTAAAAACCCCACATTCACATACATTAACCTTTAATAATTTAACTATTAAACAGAGTTTAACCTCACTGTCGCTGCTGCGGTGGACACTGCACTTTTTGCACATTTCTAAACTGTACATTTTACATTTTAC